GATTTTTTTTTTCATATGAGTTTGAGACTGTCTAGATGTAGGATTTTAAGAATCCCGGTTGTATATACTTTTAATCTGCTACCAAATGATGTACAACATATTAGAGTTAATTTGCCAACTAGGAGTTTGGAAAAAGATCTAGATATCACAAGTAAGATTCTTAAACATCACATCCAATAGTTGATTTTGTCACACAATCAATTATGAGAAATTCTCAAAAATATTATTGAATACTTGAATGAATAATAAGTGAGATTACATAATTATTTATAATAATCTTTTCCTAACTAGAACTAAATTAGAAAATAAAATAATAAAATAAAGAATATCAATCTTAATACAACTAGAAAAAAGTACTAATAAGAATAAACTCCTAACTCTAATAAGACCCTTAATAATAAACTAAAAACTAATCCAACAGTAAATAAATTCCTATTATGGATATGTGCCATCAGGAACCCATCTAGAAATTGTTGAACCAGTTTGGGGTGAAATAAATTGTTCAAACCAATCAAATTTTATTTGAGTTAGTCCTACTAGCCAGTTGCACACATATAATATCCTGCTCCAAATTATGATGACTAAAAAGGGCTGGATGTCGGCAAGACTAGTCGAACAACAGTGGTTGTAGATAGATATTGATGCTCTTGATTGCACTCTCGATGGCACAAAGAAATAATTTAGAAAAAAAAACCCAAGAAATCATGCTATAGTAACAAAATAAAAGGTGCAAATAATAAAAAGTTGAATAGCTTTAGCCCAAAACAATCAATGCCTATGATTAGAAGCTCTAATAAGAAACGTAAAAGAACTACAACAATAAATAACATCCTAATACTACTAAAGTTCTAATCCTGCACCTAGAATTATAAAAAATACTAGAGTTGAAAGAAAAATAACTCCTAATCTATTCTGAAAACCTACTAAACTTTCTATGTATCAAAAGTACACATGCAATACACAACTATAAAAACTAGTTCTGTGGATGGATCCATCATTATAAAGGGTTAAGGAACGAGGGAGCGGGTATTAAACCCATGCTGTGGCCAATAACCATTACACAAATTTAATTCTGATAATGACTTAAGAGATTAGATCAATATTTTGACTGACTTTTAAACCTTTTGTACATGGATGGCATTCCGTCGGTGCCTTACCAATGCATTCTCTCTTTTTCTCTCAATACAGTTGGGCAATCAAGAGTTAATTCCTTCCCAAAAACAATCATAAATGCAGTTAAAACAGACAAAAGTAAAGAACATCCCACTGTGAAAAATGAATTTCAAAACAGACGATAAAAGAAAAAATTTTCCATAAGTAGAAGGAACTTAATCGTACCCCTTTCATTTTTAAGCTGCTTTTTTCTACCAGATTTTATTGTTCCTTTACCGTTGTTCTAAACGTGAATTGTGTTGAATATGCAAATACCTAAACAGATATATAAACTATATGCAGAAGACCATATAGTCATCCTTCAGTAGTAACAGTATCGATAACACACAATTTGAAGATATTGATATAACACGCCAAATGAACTTAAAAGTAATGCATACCAATAGTTGAGAATGGATAACTGACGGCATCTAGTTTAATGAAGGCAACATTCTTCAACCATACAACTCACCGTCATTAAATTAGAACAATTCTTATTGTATTAACTCAAATTAGACTCAGTTTCTCAAACAAATTTGTCGAGAAATCGGAAACCAAAATATATCCATTCAACTGAAATTAAAGAAAAACAAAAGAGAGAGGTGAGTAAAACCTCAAAGCAGCTGGTTTAATGTCTTGAAATGCGACGACCTTCTCATCCTGCAAGGGCCCAAGCAAAGTTGATCAGAGAGAAAATAGTCCGTGAAAACGCCGCTTTGATTGCCGAGGAAATTGAAGATAGTACTCTAATTAACAGAGATTAGTTAGTTCAATGATTTGCATTGGCTCTTAGGAATCAAACAGATAATGGAGAGAGGGGAATAGAAAAGGAATAATACAGAGTGGAGAAGAGTTGCAGAGGTGGAATTGCGGACAATATCACAGAAGATGCAGGGTATGGTGGCTCCCCCCATGTTGACCTAAATGGATGATAAAACCCGTCGATTATAACATTTTTTATTATGGCGAAGATAATTTCTCGTTAACATAATTCCTTACAATTAGTACTCTTATTTATATGAGAAATTTTAAATTTTAAATTGTATATTTTTAATTTATTTAATATTATCATTTATTTATATAAAATAGCGTGTATTCAAATTAAATGTTGTCATCGTTAATAAATATAATGATAATATTTTCATTAAAAAATATTTAATAATTATTAAAATAAATTCTTACAATTAATTATTTTTTAATTTACTTGATTCTTATTTATTTAAAGAATATATGTTATATATATGATAATATTCAATTGTCGTATGAAAATGATTGGAAAAAAAATTTTAAGGAAAAAATTCCCAGGACATCTCCTATGAAAATTCCCGGGCTTTGAAACGGCGAACGTTCCCAGTGCCGTCTATTCACTCTCATAATTCATGAATCGCCTGCACTTGATTCCAAAATCCCTAATCTACCCTCTGTCATTTCGCTTTTCGGGTCGTTTCGTCTTGACTCTCAGTCCCTTCCAGCCCACTCGAGCTATGTCCGGCGGCTCGGTTCAGCGACTTTTCCAGCTGAAGCACAACCCGCTCACTGGTAACTCGGAATGGATTGTCATCGAGGAAAATGAAGAGTTTCCTGATAATTTCTCCGACGGTCTTCTCGCTAGTACGTCTTATCTTGACATGCTTAATGATTCTCGCCGTAACAGAGCTTTCCGTTTGGCCATCGAGAAGACTGTAACTAAACCTTGCCACGTCCTTGATATCGGGTATTCTATTTTCATCTTAATTTATAATTATATAACTTTAAATTCTTGTTATAAGCTTTTTGTTATGGGTATTCTTCGGTATATGATAATAACAAATTATGTTTCATGTATTTTCTATTAAACTGAAAATCATTATTGGGGAGGGGTAGGCTCACTGAGTCTTAATCAAGAAAGGACAGTAAATGAATGGGAAAAGTACTACAAACTCTTTTGTTTCTTATGGGGGATGTTCCGAGCTCCTTTTTGCAATTGTTGACAATTACAAAAAGCCACTTGGACATTCAAGATGCTCTCTCTCTCTCTTTCCCTCTCGTAGATGTGTGTGTGTGTGTGTAATACACTTGTATGGTTGTGTATATGTACATGCTGTTTCTCTTTTTTGGGTATGATAATTGAGCTCTTTTCCCTTCCTCTCTCGTTAAATATATGGGCGTTTCTTTTTCCACATTCCGCTATTTACCATTGTAAAATCATCATACAGTGCTGGAACTGGACTATTGTCAATGATGGCTGCAAGGGCAATGGGCTTGAGCAATGCCACAGCATGTCCTAATAACAAGGGAGTGGTAACAGCCTGCGAATCTTATCTTCCAATGGTAAAGTTGATGCGGAAAGTTCTGCATCTCAATGGTATGGGAAAACATGTCAATGTCATCAACAAACGTTCTGATGAACTAAAAGTTGGTGTTGACATTGCTTCACGAGCAGATGTTCTTGTGAGTCTCATAATTTCTTTTGGTGACCTTTCATGAATGTTACCTTCAAACCTTAGATATCTTTTTAGCATTAGAAAACAATTTTTTTCAGGTTGAGAAAAATGTTTTTAGTGCTCGTAGTTATATGATGTAATCTATGTTGGCTTGTATTTGAAACCTTGGGATTATTCAAAATTGAGAAAAGCTTGAATTTGAAGAAGGGGAGCACTTCAGGTGACTACTGGCTCCCATAAGGGTTAGTCTTACATGTCAAGTGGCAAATGTATATTTTAAAACAGTGATAACTACCACAGATGATTCTAATACTTTTTACTAATGCTTTTTACTAAACTATGTGAAATATTTCCATTATAGGCATATCTACTGATAATGGTGTCCTCTCCCCCTCTTTTGCCTCTGCTAATTAAGCTTTTCAAATTATGCTCAGGTCAGCGAGATATTAGATTCAGAGTTATTAGGTGAAGGGCTAATACCTACTCTACAACATGCTCATGACATGTTATTGGTGGAAAATCCACAAACAGTGCCATATCGAGCTGTTACCTATGGCCAGGTGTTTGGCTCAACCTTGTACTATTCTCATTTCTGGAATTTTTCAGAGTTTAATTGTTCCTGTGTTTCTTCATTTGCGATAAGAAATGTTTCCATTGTCAAATTTTTCCATTCAGCTTAGACGTATGCATATTATTCAAATTTCCCAAGAATGTCTTTGGTAATTGAGCTTTGTAGTTTGTCTCCTCGGATTGTGACAAAAAGTGCAAATAGTTATAAAAAATGCTACAACGTTATTGGTTTAAAATGAAGCATAGGTTTGTTCTCTTCTGTTTCATCTTATCTAGTAGGTCTGTTCTTAGTGCATTTCATCGAACAATGTCTCAAGAGTAGATTTACCAGCACTTGGTTACATTTTATGTAAATGTAATTGACTACTTATTGTATTCTTTTTATACTTCTAGACTATAAACAATTGCTTTTTTTTTTGGTATCGGCCTTTTTCTGTTTCCCTTCTTAAGTGAGTTGAGAGCATATTCTTGGCCAGGTGTTTGGCTCGACCTTGTACTATTCTCCTTTCTGGAAGTTTTTAAGGATTTTAATTGTTCTTGTGCTTTGTCATTTGTGATAAGAAATGTTTCCATTGGCAAATTTGTCTATTCAGCTTAGACTTATGTATATAATTCAAATCTCCCGAGAATGTGTTTGGTAATTGAGCTTTATAGTTTGTCTTCTCACATTGTGAGAAAAAGTGCAAATAGTTATAAAAAATGCTACAACATTATTGGTTTAAAATGAAGTATAGGTTTTGGTGTTTTTTATTTTGTCTTATCATAGGTCTATCCTTACTGCATTTTCATATAACAATGTCCCAAGAGGAGATTTACCAGCACTTGGTTATATTTTATGTAAATGTAATTGACTTTTTTATAACAATGCCTCAATAGTAGATTTACCAGCACTTGGTTAATTTTATGTAAATGTAATTGACTCTTTTATACTTCTAGGACTGACATAAGTGCTTTTTTTTCCCTTCGATTTTTTCTGTTTCCCCTCTTAAGCTAGTTGAGAGCACATTCTTGAGCAAGCTGAATGATCTGCATAATAATGAAGAAAAAGCACTGGATGGCATTCATCTTGTTCCTACTGGCTTCAATACTATTCCAAGTGTTAAATCACAACAGTATACCATGCATTGTGATGCAATTAGGGAAGAGATCAAACTGGTAATGGCTTCAATATTTATTCCTTATACCTCTTGGAAAGTACAAATAGTATAAGTTCTACTCAATTTAGGACTCATTCAGCTTTCAGAACCCTTCGAGATATTTGAATTTGACTTTTGGAAACGGCCAGACAGTTACGGAGAAACTGGGCTACACATAAAGGCAATTAACAAGGGTACAGTTCATGCTATTGTTTCATGGTAATCATTTTACGTTCTCTGTGTCATGATTTATTTCTAGCAATAATTCTAACAAGTTCTATGTATCTGTATGTTGTTCAGGTGGGTAATTCAACTCGATCATGAAGGAACAATTTTTTATTCCACTGCCCCAAGTTGGATAAGGTCAGAAGGTAACACAAGTGAATCACAAATCATCATTCCTTTGTCACTGCAGTGTTGTCTTCATTTCGTATAACAAATGAAGTTGCTTCATTCTTCTTTAGGTGCTGGGGACTGGTGTGACCACTGGAAACAGTGTGTTTGGTTTTTACCAGGGGAAGGGTTGTCTGTAACTGAGCATGAAGAGGTTCTTTTGCATGCTGTTCATACTGATACTAGTATGTCATATGAACTCAAAGCCCAAGTTGAGAGACCTGGGGTGATGCAATACAACGTAAATGATTGGAATCTACAGCTCATGTTACCACCAGAAAGAATTGCAATTTATGGAGACAGTAAATGGAGGCTTTGCATGTTGACTGCTATAAGAAATGCTGTAATCTCTCTCTCTCTCTCAAGCTAAACTGCCAAATTTGCTAAACATGTGCTTTGTTTTTATGTCTTTGTTATTTGGATTTTGATGTCTTTGTTATTTGGATTTCTATGTATGGTTGACTTTAGTTTCCACTGTCAACTTCTACTTGCATAAGTGATACCCAGCATGCTAACTGATTACTATTTATGTTAGTCACTATCTGCAACAGATAATATTATTTGGTTTTCTGCATTTAAGTTGAGATAATAGAACAAATCTTATTATGAAGATGTCCTTTTCTAGATAGCAAAAAAGAGAAAAAGAAAAAAGAGGTTCTCATATATCTCCATTATTATCCATCATAGGATTGGAGGGCTGATCAGCTCACGATTCTTTCCATTCTTTCTTTCTTTTTCGTAATTCTCTTTATGTTGGAGCATTTTTCTAGGAAAGGGTTCCAGGAGGATAAATTATCCTCTATCATTGTAATTTCTCATTCTTAGTCTTAGTAATATTTCTCTTTCTACCAAGAAAAATTTTGGGTTATTGGAAAGAGAGGAACAGAAGAGCTTTCAGAATGTTTCTTTTAATAACATCAGAGATGTTTGGTTCTAGACCCTTCTGTTATTTGTTCAAAGGGCACCCTGTTAATAGTGATTGGAACTTGGGTGATTTGCTTGATATTTCAATGGGACTGTACTATTTTGTAAATGAGTGACACATCCTTGGTGCCTGTTTGTATAATCTTTTCTTTTCTTAAAAAAAAGTCTTGTGCATGTGATGTTGAAATTTTTATTTCTCCTTATTATATTTGTTACTTATATTATTAATTCTTTTAGGTGTATATGCTGTTGTTTATTTATTTATCTTTTTTTTATGTTTAAGATCCTCTTATATCTTTTGCCTCTCCCCTCCCTTTTTTTGTATGTGTTGGCTTCAAGTTTTAATAGAGTTGTACTCTTTGCAGTTGCAGTCAAGATCTCATCCATTATGTCTTGTCGTGGATGACAGTGTTTTCCTGACCTTAGTTGCTGCACATCTTTCAAAATCATCACATGTATTATCATTGTTTCCGGGGCTGCAAGAGAAGGGTGCCAGATATTTGGAAGCTGTAGCTTATGCTAACAATTTCTCAATGGATCGCTTAGAAGTTTCTCGAAAGGGGAAAGCATATTTGACAGGGAACAGTACTTATCAAAGGAAGGTAATCTCTCTGTATTCAATTAGTATACTCATAGCCACTTCTATATATATCTACCCACATATTATGAACTTGCAAGGATCATGAATAAAATCTTCTCAATTTGTTATGGTGGCTTATATCTGCAGGTTGACCTGCTGCTTGGTGAACCTTACTATTTTGGAAAGGAGGGTGCGTTGCCATGGCAAAATCTACGATTCTGGTAGTATATATTAATTAGAGCCTTGTAATTTAGTTACTGTATTAGAGCTGTATTTTTCCTGTCTTTCTTTTCCTAAAATGAAGCCTTTGTTTCTAGCTATTGATCCTTGTTCTGGCACCAATTTGAACCGGTTGAACATGCTAGTTTGCCTGGTCTTCTGTCCTGTGCAATAAGGTGCATACATCCTTTAGTCTATTTAATGTTAGAATACCAGTCCTTGGAGATATATAGATCATGATATGGTGTATTAATATGTTCTCATATTTAGATTTTACTTTACTTCTGGTCTTATTTGGTTCCATTCTCATTTAAGTCTTACTTTGTTTTAACTTTAATTTTGATAGGTAACCTTATAATCATTTTTATCTTTGGAATACCTTCACTTGGACTGAATTTTTTGGGTGGATTTCCAATTCATTCTTCTTTAAGTAGGAATTGGAGATCTACCCTAAAACTTCAAGATGGTAGTCAAGCTGGTTCAAACATTAAAGCTATGGTATAGTTTTACTAATCAAGATTGTAATAATATTTTCTTGAGATATTCCAATAATAAGGTTGGAGTTGAATGAAATACACTGCTAGTGTAGTTAAAGGAATTTGACAAAGAGTGGACATTCTTCCTATAATGTTATTAGAGTGTTCCAAAGAGAATGAGACTATTTAAACTCATTTGATAACAAAAATGTTTTCATCAGTTATTTATAGTTACCAAGTTCAGATCTCCACTTCTTCCATTTTGGTTCCAACTTTGTCCCTGGCACAAGAAAGCATTTCCCATCCTCAAAGCTTCTGTAGTCTTATCTATTATTGGGAGAAGAAAAAGTTTGAGTTATCTCTATGTTTGCTTCATACTCAAGTGATTTCTTTAATCTAATTTACTCCTTCCCACTTGTTTTTATTTGAATTTAGGAAAGAAAGGACTATGCTTGATTCTATCCTTGCAAAAGATGCAGTGATAGTGCCTTATAAAGGAATACTTAAGGCGTGTGCCATGTATCTTCCGGTAAATTGCTATACTTTTCAACACCCTCTAACCGAGAGTGTTGTATTTGAGATTTGTTTGACTCTGGTTGGCATTTTCGACAGAATCTTTGGATTAGTCGTCACAGTTTGAGGAAGATTGAAGGTTTTGACCATTCAATTGTCAATATGACCTTAGGCTCGTGCGGTGATTTACCAACTCCTAAAGAGGGTCCTTGTCTGCCCTTTTTCGTCTGGCAGTGTGGAGAGATTAAGGTAACTGATGTGCTTAAATTTATGGTTTCAAAGAGACAAAGGAATCTGGAAGTAGGAAAAAGTAAAATAGTTCCAATTTCATCTAGAATATCAGTTGATCGGTACTTTTATTATCAAGATATTTTTTTTCAGGCACTGAGTGAAATGTTTACAATCATGGAGTTTGATTTCTCAAAGCCAGCAAGTCCTTGTTCTGGAAAAGCGCAGGTATTGCAAGCTGTTCCTTCCCAGCATTCAGCTACACCATATGGTGTACTTTTGATAACTCTAGTTTGCATATTAATTGTTGGCTTGCACGACATGCATGTTCAATTTATGTGATAGTTCCCGCCCTTAACCTGCAGTTATTAATCTAGTATCGAAACACAAGAACTGGCAGTTGCATGTTCGATCATATTCTAAGTGCCAAACATGAATAATTTGTTTTGATGATAAGATGCTGTTGACTCAAGTGAAAGGTTGATCCCATGAATTATTATTTGATGTTTAATTCGTGGATGCATGGGACCATAGAAATAGGTGGTTTTTACTTGAAAGTTGAGATTATTTTTATGTGTGTGAATGTGAGTAATTGAACCAGATTCGATAACAAGAGGAGTGATTGCTCCAGGTTGAATTCATTGAAGATGGGATATGTCATGGATTTGTATTATGGATCGATTGGGTGATGGATACAGAGAATTCCATTGTGATATCAACAGGTCCAGGTATAATCTAAATGCCAGGAAAGTGATACACTGGAACCTATATTTTTTAATTATATAGCAATACATTGACTATTTTCTTCTTTCCAATTTGTTTATGATTTGTTTGAAACATACTGTCTCAGATGAGAGATACTGGAAGCAAGGAGTCAAGCTTCTTTCAAAGCCTGTTGCAGTTCAAGTGAATGAATCAGGAGGTGCAGGTGGATGTGGATCTGCAGTAGTGGAAGCATCTTTTGACCCATCATCAAATGGCGACCTAATTATCAAGCACATTTTCTCATAATGATTGTTGTCTTTTTGGCTCACTGGCATATATACACGTATTGAGGAACACATCTATGTCTCTAGAAGGTGAAAATTTGTAACCTGGGAAGTACGAATATTCTGAGTTGACGCTATGCAACTGATGGAGGAATTTTTGCGCCGCTTATGGTTGCAACATTATGGTTGATAGATGTAAACTCCGGTATATCATCATCGTATATCGATTCCCCCAACAAGTTCATAATTTGATGCCCTAAATCAGGAAGAGTTATTGTTACAATAAGGAGGATGGTTGCTGGATAGATGAAGTGTATTTATTTGTATGTTTGGTACAAGTAAATTCCATAAAGCTTATGAAGTTATTTATAAACATAGTATTTGCACTTAAAGATCCTTGTGTTAGTAAACAGGAACTTAAATTGTTTTTGCTGGTTTTCCGGGAGAGAAAGGCTCTGAAGTTATATACACTTAAGATCCTTGTCTTCCCTTGGATTTTTTTTGTTTTTTTAATTGGGAAATTAAAATTATATTTAGTTTCTGGACAAATATTTTTATAAAAATACGCTGGTACTTGTTTCAAATACATTTTATTCTCATTTAATTATTTATTACTTATATTCATTATATAAAATTTTGTTTTAATTTTATACTGTGCATAATTGAATAATTTCTATTAATATTTAAATTTTCTAATGATGGATTTCAATTTTCACTTGTTAAGAGAATCACAAAAATAATTAACTTGGAGTTATGGAATTAATTTGGAAGTAAAATATTATTTTCATACAAATTCTTACCTCATTTGTATCATATTCCTCTTTTATTTCATGGAATTAACATTTTATTAATTCATTTGAATCAAACTTAAATTCATGTGTTAATGAAGTAATAAAATGTAAATAAAAAATTTGAAAACAATAATTTTATTTATTTCAAATCTTATGTCATTTTTGTTTCTATTTATTAAATACTATTTTATTTTTAGTTTACATGTTTCTATATATAAAATTTGCATAAATCTAAAAGTGAAAGTTCCAAAGAATTTTTGTATGCTAAAAATAAATATTTTTGTTCACTTAAAAGATTAAAAGTGAGAATTCTAATAGTTACTAAAATGATAAATTAAACTTTTCAAATAATAATTTGTAAGTGTTAATTTCTAATAATTTGTAAGAGTGTCTGGCAACCTCTTTCCAAGAGATTGGGAGACAAGAAAACTTATTAAACAGATATCAAAAGATTGTTTTAAAAGAAAACACAGATAAAAATGTTTTATTATGCAAATTAAAATAAGTGTTTACAATAAAATCTCTGTCAATTGATTTATGTTTTAAGACAAGATGTTTCTTTTGAAGATAAAATGGAACAGGACTCAGAATTCTCAATTATCAATATCTATTTAAAACATTATACTATCAGAATCAGATATTATTAACCTCTAAAAAATACAGTTGAATGTGTAAATTTAATTAAAATATGAAAACTTTGATTTATTACATACTAAAATCAACATAAAAGAACTATACATAATTATTGTCCAAAAAAAGGTAATTTGAAACTGGCAATTTTTACTAGGACTGTGATGTCGATAATGAAGTATTAAAAGCAATAGATCTTACTCAAATGTCATAATACTCTCGTTGCACACCTGATGAGTAGAGATTGAATCTTTACTTTCACTCTATCTCAGAAAACAAAAACATGGAACAGTAATAACAAATAAGAGATCTTTAAAAGGAGAACTTTATAACTCTAATTCCACAGTATTTAAAATGGGTGTGAGATCAAAACTCAAATACATGCAAAGCTGTTGACTTCCAAGTATAAACAAGTATTGTGGAAAACCAAATAAAAGGGCAAATGAAATCTATATATATATATATATAAAAGAAGAGAAATAAACAACTGGCTTCCATTTATAAATCATATAAAAGCTAGATCATAGAGAAAGAAGAATGATTTGATTAGATTAGATTACAGTGAAAATTTTGTAAGTTTCTTGGTTGACTTGACGCCCTTATTAGATGGCAGGGAGTTAGGTACCTCAAAAAGGCATGTATAACATGCAAAATTGCAAGAGGTAACCAAAATGTCCGGTCTTTTAACATTATAAGATTCAGACTCTGTCTTCTTCTCGAGGTATCATTAATTCATCATAATCATCCACCAAAACCTGTAATTTCAACCAAAAATTTCAATTACTAAAAAAGATCTATCAAGATTTACTATTATATGGAGAAAAAAGATGAGAATAACAGTACCTTAAACCTCTGGCCACCATAAGTATATTCCACATACAACTGATTGGGTTCTCCGGGACAAGGATCAAAGAACCCCATAATCCCTGACTTCTTCATACCCTCATGAAGCTGCCATAACAAATTGAAGAACAAAAGATCTTTTAAATAAATGATTTTTAAGAAAAACAAACTACACAAAATCAACACAATTAAAACAAAAATAGCAAAAGCACTTTAATTTCATATATCTGGCTACAACATCTAATTAATCACCCGATCAAACATTTGCCACTGTGTGATCAGTATTGAAGCCAAAGCAAGGAATTCTTCCTAGCAGTTGTTTTTTAATATCAACCCCATTGATTTAGTAGAAAGCATTTTCTCAGCAAGGATCTTTTCAAAGTTTTGGAAAGAAAAGAAAAATGAAAAGTTCATTGCTGAAAAAATGCTGGCTACAAAGTCAATGAACTTTTCATTTAATTATAATGATTTCATCTCTATAGGCATTGTGATTGATGTAAATCAAGGTTAACAATGGATCATTAACACGTGACTCGTCGTTTTTATCACTTTCAACTCAATTTTCTAACAGCTTCTCATCTTTCATATTTTTGGACTCTTTACCTCAGTTTGGCCTCCATAAACACCTTGGGTGAGTTATCCGTAACTCATGGAAATTTTGATAGATGTAGTACACAACATGAACAAAATAATTAAGGCATTGTTAAAGTAATACAAGACCAGGTCTTTAACAGCACTCTATAGAAGTCCGATATGATAGTTATGCAAGAAAAGTCAAAATGTCTCCCAAGAAAAGTCATTTTCTGAAACTGACCGTTTACCGAAAGAAACGGGATTTGAAGTAATCGTACCTTAAGCTGTCCAGAATCATTTATCAGGAAATTAAGAGGTAATGTAACATCAATTAGTTGTGAAGCCAATTCCTCAGTCATTTCTCCTGATTCATCCGCTTTCTTCAAAGCTTTAGGATTCCCATACAGAGACTTAGTAATGACCAGCCCTCCAGTTTCCATTTGCCTTCTTTTTTTTCTATCTGCCACATTTCGTAGTAATTGCTGAGCTTTCTCTGCTGCTGCCCTTGCCTCTTGGACCTATGGATGAAATAGGTTAAAACTTTAAGGCAGTGCTAAACAAAGAAGCATGCCTGGTCATTGTTGACTACCAATGTAGAAAACCGTAAAATTCAAGTACTAATAGGCATTTAAAAGTTAAATCTTTTAAAAATCCTCTCCCATATTACCATTCCATTCCGTGCCCAGCACCAGCTCAGGCAGCAGTAAAAGAAACAGCAATTTGTCGTCAAACATAGCAGTGCATAATGTTCATGCATGAAGAAACATGCATCCCACACAAGACTTCATATCTAATCTAAGACAGAAGCACCTAAATGCAGGTTTTCATGGTAAATTGTGGAATCTTCTAAATGTATATGCATGTAAAAAATCGAATATCCTAAATGTATATGCATGTCAAAAACTGAATATTGAATCTTCAGTGATATTGTATGTAGAACATAGCCCACTACAAGAAAATCAATTTACAATTATTCACACAGTAGAGGTTTACTTTTTGGGAATAGTTACTCAGAATGGAACCAAACATGCCATTGATAATTCATACCTGAGCATGAGTTTTTTCTCTGTTCTCTAAAGCCTTCTGCTTTTCCCTTTTAAGGTAATAGGGCTTGACAACAAATTTCTGCAAGGATGCACAACTTAAAAATAGTAAGGGAATAGTGCTTTGCCAAAACAGACTAAAAACTTAAGAGGGGGCATTTATAGTCAAGCTAGCACAACTTTATCACACTGAATTTACATTTTTATATTGAGAAAAAATTACACAAACATTTTATCACTGTGCAGCTCATCAACGCCAGTCATAGTTTCCTACTGCAATAAAAAGCCCCTAAGAGTTTGGGATACAACAACATGGAGCCAGATCCAATGCACCTTCATCATTCAAGCTCAATTCAGTAGAAACACAGTATATTTAAGCTCTCCCAGAATTTTAATCAAGTTACTAACTTTTAGACATATTCCTTGATGGGCATCTGCAAGGTTTCGAAATTTCGTGTCTAGATTTGGTGTCAATTTTGCACTTATTCAAGCTTGACCTCAAGTTAATAGCCTTGATTGAGCTCAATAGCAAAATAGGCATATATATATGCCTACATAAAAATGGAGTTTGAAAATTAACAGAAAAAAAAATCTATGTATTAAGTACCTATAAATGATCTATCATGAAGAAATGCATAATTAAAAGTATAAAAATATATAGAAAAATAATAAAATTATTTAACTCAAGCTCATTTAAAACAAGTCTGACTCTAAACTTGAATTTGACCTCACATTTGTTAATAAAAAGCCAAGGCGTGCTTATCTTGAGTCTTGATTTATTCATTGACTTTCCTTTTTTTCTCAAAAAATGAAAAGTGGAAATTCAACTGGAAAGAAAAAAGCAATGAATTAATCAAGACTTAATTGATTCTTTTATAGACATATATACGGCCAATTCTTTGTCACAATATATGACAAGATATTGCCATCAAATAAAAGCAAACTCCAACTAGATTAGCCCATCTAATTCCAAGAGGAGCTAAGCAGCAAAAGGATCAATATAACAATGAAAATCGATATTGTCTGAGATCTGAATGACCAATAGAATCAGCAGGAAATACCCTGCTAAATATGTTATCAATATTAGAATGTTCAAGGCTTAGGGGCAGAGAAGCCAGGATTATTTCTCAGAAGGTTTTAATTCAGGAGTGCTTAATGAGAGATTTTCTTTGAAATTAAGATGTTCTTCCACTATACTTCTCTATAGAAAAATGCTTCCTGTTTCACAAAGCGCAAGAGAAGGAGACTTTCTAACGTAATAAAAAACTTTAGGAAAGAATTTTATGAAAGAAAGTAAAACATGTATGCTTGCTTGAAGAGTCTCATTCACAAGAAACCAAAGTATGCCAAAACTGTACTACATTCTGACAACTTATGTGAGTTAACTTAGGCTCTAATTAGAAAAGAATTTTGGTAACATCAATTTCATGACTCTTAACTTATTCACATCTGAATGAAGGCAAAGAAGAATAACAAATTTGCCATATTCAACAAGTTGTTAAAATATGAATGACATAAAAGGTAACCTTTAATAAGAAGTAAATCGATGTTGGAATCACGAATGCTCCTGTTGCAAAAAGGGGATTCAAATGCCTGGAAAGCAATATCTGCACATAATAATTTACCAACAAATTAAAACCAATATATGCTACCACAGAGATAGAACAGGTGGCTACTAGTTATCTTCAAGCTAATAAGTTAAGCTTTATGGTATGGCTAGCTTCAAGGTCTGGTTATTGGTCTCAAATTAGAGAAAATTATTAAATTAAGAATGATGTTTTGTGATAATAAAAGTACTAGAATCTATTCCAATTATGAAACCAATAACACGATTTTCTAGTAATTAAAATTTTTATATTTTACTTGAAAGTCATAAATTCAAAACTTACTGAGAATGTAGAACTCGTCACTTATACATGTGTTATGGGTTATGGAAATATTCAGAGCATAACCAGCATCTAATGCTGAATTGAACAAAAAACAAGGACAGCTCTACCTCCATCAACAAAAAAAAAGAGTCCCACACACGTGGTACCCTCTTGGTACAATGTTAATAATACTTTACTAACTTTTATTTCAAAAAAAAAGGAGGATAATTGGTCCTCTTAGTTGTATTTTTTTTCCGTTCCAATATACCTTTTTTCTGTTTCTTTGTTGTTTATTAATAGCTGGAATATTCTTGTTTATTTGATTAAACTAAAGGGAAAATGAGATATGGGATCCTTTGGATTCGTCTTCTTTGTAGAGTAGGTGCGTGTATATGTATGTACGTTATAGACTGTGTGTGCTGTCTTTGATTAGTCAAGGCACACATGTTGGAGATAGTGTGTTATGGTGGTGCAATATAATTGTATAATTTTGTCGTTTGTTTGATATTAATATCATTGTTTGACAATATATAATATCATTATTTAACAAAATCTTGTCGGTGTTGAATTACTATAATGACCTTATAGAAAAGTTATTCTTTTAGGCAATGACCTGTATAGAGTTGGGATTTGAGAAAACTTATTCTTGTTTTTTGTTTCCCCGTAAGGTAGAAAAAATGGATCTTGCGGAACATGTAGCTATTTTAATAGGATACTTTGTCATGCTTGTTGTGATTTGTGTTCATAAAAGGAGAAAGCTTGTGCTTACTCCTGAATTACGACTAGAGAGAAAAAGTTCGAGATAAACTGATGAAAAGTTTGATCTCAAGTGAGTTTTGTTGCACATCATCAGGATGAGAGCTCCAACCTTTATAAATTTACGTCGTTTGCTAGTTATAAATGGTTGACTTAGACACACTGTTTGTGCAACTATTGAGGAACAAGTTACCAAGAAACTTTACTTATTATGACGCAATGAGAGAAATCGAGTCCTATCTTAGCATTTTCGACAATCCGGAGAGACAAATCTCCATATATTGGATTAACTTTCTTACTTGTTAAAAAAGTTTAAACCTGCTTTTTAAGATGATCAAAGAAAAAGCCAGGGATGTTTGGATGCATCCTAAAATGTGCGGCTTTTAATGAAAAAAAAATACTGCACTGAACTATTTCTTTTCAAGGTTTTAAGTGAAAACGAAAAGCTCATTTGACTAAGATTATGGACCTAAAATACCCCCCCATTAGCTAAAAGATTAAATTCCACAAACTTTTTGGCTAAAAAATACAAATAATTTATCTTTTTTTCTGATTTTACTAATTTTTCAGCTTAAGATCTAATTTTTCCTAAGTCCTGTAACTTAGTAAAATACAAGCCAGGAAAAAGAAAAGAATTGTCCAAACACTTTCCAAAAACCCCTATGAACTTGAAAACACTTGGAGCCTGAAAGGCTATGAGGTTAAAACATTAAAATGATAAGCCCATCCAAACACGCTCATTCTTTTGGAAGCAATGTAGAGGTCATAAGAATCTCATTGATGCCACATGCATTTTATGGAATATGACGTCCAACTAAAAGTTAATCTTTGGCTGGATGGATTATGCTGTACTAGGGATGTCATCTTTTGCTAAGATTTATTTATGGATGAGAAATGATACTATCAACTAAATGTCTCATGCTCATATATGATTCATCATGATGAAATTCTTTAATGCACAAATTTATCATTTTATCCACTCATTACTTCCAGAAAATTTTGTTTCGTAGACTTCTGGTAAGGATAGGTTCAAAAACCTAGACAACAGTCACTCTTGAATAAATATATAAGTTTTCAATTTCCATACAAGAATTTAAGAAATATTTCCAAACATCTAGAAGAGATAAAGCACCACCAAAATTGTCAAGAAAAACACTTAAATTAAATATTTCCCATCTCCCTAAGCTGAAAATGGTAACAACTTAAAAAAAATCAAAATGAAGAGAACAAAAACGGCATTTAGAGAATTTTAGATTAAGCTTACAGGAACAATCAACTTTTGGCTACCACGATGAAATTCAAATTTCCAAAAAATACCCTGCCAAGATGAAGAAACACAGATAAGATTTTCTTACAGCTATTCTCAAAGAAAAAAAAAAGATTTTCTGACAGCTAAATTAACTGTTATCTATCATCAATTATATATCAGAACAATATGCTGCATCAATATCATGATAAACCTATCACATTTCGAAACAATGGAAATCCAACGGAAATAACCAAGAAAGAAAAGTAGAATATTTAGTTTACCACGGATGTGTAGCTTTATTTTCTTATATGGAACCAAAATGAAACACCAATACATCAGATATGATAACCTCCTTAAAAACAGAAACTTGACCTTAGTGGAGAGGGGAATCGGTCCATCTTCAAGAGAGGAAGAGGTTGTAGAGGATGGGCAGGTCAGAAACTATGGTGCGGCAGACAAGTAGGCTGGTTTGATCTTCCTGCAGTTGGGGATGCAAGTGGTATCTTAATCTTATGAGATACCCAGAAATTAGAAACTATCAAGCGTGTTACAAAGTCTGTTTCTTGTGAATTTCGGGGTAAGGGCGATTGCTTTTCTTGGATATATACCAGTTTCTATGGTAGACTCAAAGATACAGCACAACTGCTGGTACAGGATTATTTGAGAATGACTGATCATTGGTAGAGATTTTGATATGGTGACTTGTTGACTAAGAAAAGTGTAGTAATGAAGCATCTTTCTCTTGCTTCATGAAGTTCAGGTATGATCTCCAGCCTAAACCTTATTGATCGCTTTGTCGAGTGGAAGATTGACTTGGTCTAACCTTATAAAGAATGTGGTTTGCCCTTGAATTAACAGCTCCCTAATTTCTTCTACTTATAGGGTCATGCTCCAAACCTGCTTAGAGTATTCATCCTCAGGTTTAATCAAACAATCCTTTCTCTTAATCTGAATGGGTTAGATGGGGGCCAATCCTTTCTATTCTGGAAATAAATGGTTCAAAATGGAAGGGTTCTTGGATCCATATGTCCTGGTGGGCGGAATTAATTCCAATGGTTCTGTAAGCTAGAGGAGTACTAAGAAGTCGGCTCACATGAAGAAACAATTCAGAGCTGAGAGTATCGGTCATTGGGGTAAGAAGACTCCCTTGAGAAAAAAAGACTTTTAAAGTTGATGAATAACATAAGAAAGAGCCAATTCTAGGTCAATGGATATCAGGAGGGAAGCAAGACAGTTAACCAAGGTGGAGTTCGCTAATAGCACGTTGATGGATGAAGTAGGGTGGCAACAAAAATCTGGAGTGCTTCCTTTAAGGAAGGGAATGCAAAAACCAAATTCTTCCATATGGTGCCCAATCACCATCATTGAAATAACATATCCATAATAATAGTTGAAGAGGAGGAATTCAAAGTGGAGAATGGTTTGAAGAGGCTATCAAGGGCTTTTGTTTTAAACCATATTTAGAGGAGCTTTTGAGGCCAAATATAAAAGCCCAGGAATTAGATAGGGTTGGTGCTTAGAAGGTTAATTGGTTAGAGAGAGACTTTAAAGAAAAAGAGGTTCTTGGAGCATTGATAAGTCGTTATAGGACACAGCACCACAATTGAATGGCTTCACTATGTATTTTTTGCCCCCAAAAAAGAAAACTTTAGATGTAGTTCGGGACAATGTCATGAAACTTTTTGAGGATTTTCATGGGGCCACATTTTTTTTTTTTGAAATAAAAGTGTTTCATGGGGGCACATTTTGTGGCTTCCTAAAACGCTACCCTTCTAGATTTGATTTTTGAGATAGAAGTGTGGATGTCAAGGACCCCTGGCCTATTATCTTGGCAGACAATGTTTAAAACTTGATCGCCAAAGATCTTGCTAACCGTTTGAGCCCCAAGCCTATCAGTCAAGTTCCATGAGAATGCATCCGTGAAAATCATCAAGTCCTTCATGCTACCTTGATTGTTAATAAGGTTGTGGATTAAAGCATGTGAGGAAGGTCTTCTTAATATAGAAATTGAGAAAGCCTATGGTTAAGTCTCAAGGTCTTTCCTAAACTATTTATGGAATGGCATGAGCTTCCATGACAAATGGTGTAGGCTGGCAAGTTTACGCATTACCACAACCTCGTTGGTAATCCTTGTTAATGGAGGCCCTTATTACTTCTTTTACTCCTCTAAAAAAGACCTCAAACATGGAGATTCTCTTTCCCCTTTCTTGTTTATCCTTGTTATGGAGGCCTTTTACAAAATGCTCCTTAAGGCTAGCTTGCAATCTCATTCAAGGGTTGGGAGCAATAGTGATGCCATAAGAAAGGATATTATCCACTCATATCTGTTGATTATACTTTATTGTTTGGCTTACCTAATGAAGAGATTATGATTAATATTAGATGCATCTTGACTTTCTTTAAGGCTATTTCAAGTCTTCTTATCAATCTAGACAAGTCTAAGATGGTCATTGGGTCATGCAACGAAAAGCGGTTGGGATCCTCAAAAGTAAAGTTTTTTCTCTTCCCTAAAGTATCTTGTATTGCCTCTTGGCACGAAGTTCATCATCAACAAAATGGAGAAATTGTTGTCTTGCTAGAAGATGTATTGACTGTCTAAAGGTGGTAGGCTCACCTTTATTAAAAATACCCTCCTTAACCTTCTGAAGTATTTTCTATCCCTTCTCCCCATTCCCTCAAAGATCACGAGAAAGTTAGTTTGGAGAGATTCTGAATTTCACAGATCCTACACCTGGTGGCTTGAGATTCTATCAAGTGCCACATTATGGAAGAGGGTCTAGGCATCAGATCTTTGACTGGGTCGTGCAAGGTAAAGTAGTTGGGATCCTAGGATGCAAGGTTTTTTCCCTTCTCTCAAGTATCTTTGATGCCTCTTGGTGCAAAGTTCATCATCAACAAAATGGAAAAAATGTTGTCTAGCTAGAAGAGACGTTACATGTCTAAAGGCAATAGGGTCACCTTTATTAGAAGTACCTTCTCTGATCTTCTGATCTATTTTCTATCCCTTCTTCCCATTCCCTCAAAGATCACAAGAAGGTTAGTTCAGAGAGATTCTGCATTGGTAGATGCTATACCTGGTAGCTTGAGATTCTATCAAGTGTCACATTATGGAAGAGGGTCTACGCATCAGAACTTTGATTGCTATGAAAAAGTCTCATTTGAATAACTGGATGTGGAGGTTTATTAGTTGCAACAGTGGGTTATGGAAGGGAGTGGTTATTGCTAAATATGGTTTAGGATGAAAGGAAAGTTACGAATGGACAAGCTTATAGTACTAGTTTTGGATGTGGATTAGCAGAAACTGAAGTCTTGTGTTGGATTTAATAAACTTTAGGATTTACTATAGTCAAGCTGTGAATATTTTGCCAAATTATTCATGCTTCTTAGTATCAATTCCTAGTATCTCTCTGTGTTGCCTAAAGACAAGGATGCCTCAGTTGGGACAACATGGTTTAGGTCTAGCTATCCCACTTGGAATATCCAAGTGACTCACAACTTGAACAATTTAGAGATTGAGGACTTGGCTTCTTGTTGTTATCTTTAGCTCCTTACTAGTTTGATCCTTACGTGGCTAATAGCCTTTTGTGGTCTCTCTCCAAAAATAGGGAGTTTTCTGTGGTCCTTCTATCACAATCTACTTTAATGATAGGATGTTGTCTTCAAATTTTCTTAGAAACTGATTTTTAACCAAAAAAAAAAGACTTCATCCATTGGGAAGTAGCTTATGACAAGATTCTTATTTTTGACAACCTCATACAAAGAGGTAGAATCATAGTCAATGATTGCTCTCTATGTTTGTGCAAGCTAAACCTCCCTTGGGTGGTTATTGGGTTGATAGCCATGAGATTTTGGGCCTGGGAATGGAATGACATTCAAGCTAGCAATGAGAGAAAGAAGCCCATCCCTTTAACTCCTATCGCCATTATTTGGGTTTTTTGGGAGGAAAAGAAAATAGAGATGGCTGAAAATATCATATAACTGAGAGATGGCTATCCATGAGCCCCTGTGAGTTACTGTACTCCTGGGAATAGAGTCCCAACCATTCCTATGCAACCATAATTTTAATCATCTTCTTTTGTTTGTATTAAAGATCATTAGTTCCAAACCTTGAGTTTTATATTTATGTTCACTATCTTCTACGTGAGAAGGATGCAAGGAACCATACAAAAAAAAACATATAAATATTGTTCTTTTAAGTTGGAAAGATTTAATTCTTTTGTATAGGGTGGCACCCAGCGGTGTCCTATTCATACACCCTGTAATGTCCTATTCATAATATTATTGTCATCCTTTTTCTTTCGAAAGGGAGTCAACTAGACCTTTGGCCAGCTTCAGACACCCAAACAAGTAAATATTCAGTCAAATTTTCCTTTTATAGCGGAAAGATCATGCAACGAAGAGTATAATTTTGTAATAAATTGATTTTTGTTGGAAAAAGTCCAACTACCTGAATTCCTATTGTATATAACATTCGTACAGTGCTAAAATTGGACAATTTCCTGCCACCACCAACTTCAACCTCGACGGCAGTGCTGCAGCAATAATATTTTTGGTCATGACAGAAAAACAAGTTGTAAGAAAGCATATTTCGGAAGTAATATATTTAAAATAAAAACAGTAGTTATCAGGTTCTAAATATTATATAATCTGCATTAACATTTTTTTGTAACACTCTTTATCTAAACTAATCAAATAACACGATAAAGCATCTGGATTGTAAGTGAAATTGTGGATAATAAGAACAAAATATTCATTTGTAGATTGAAGAAACTCACTGAAGTTGAAATTCTTTTTTCAGAATAAACACATTTACAGTAGTTCGTTTAACACTCTCTAGAGATAGAAATATTGCCCATTATCAGAATAAGAGAGTACTAAAACTTAAGCATTTACCACTTTTCCTATGTATATAAACATTTTAAGCCTGAAATTACCTAAACTAAATCATTCAAGTTCCTGAACATAAAATTCAGAAACGATTGGAACTATTTCTAAGAGCCTATGTTGCTCGGACTTTTTAATTTTAGAGCCAGACACATGTCAGACATGACACAAGATTGGTGTGACATGCTAATACAGTTGTAAATCTTTTATATACGAGCGATATCCCCGTTTCGATACCCACTTAATATAATTATTACACTTTTTATTTCAAAAAAAGATCGGTGTGACCATGGGAACTATGTTTGATACTTGATCTACATGTAAGACACTTGATGATCTAGAACTAAAAGTTAAGATACATAATAATATGAAGAAGACACTTGATGATCTAGAACTAAAAGTTATCATATGTGATAACATGAAGACAAAGTCTACGATTCTTAATGTAACACCCCAATTCTTATTATTATTATTAGTATTATTTTATTTTAATTTTTTTTGTAATTTTTATATGAATATAATGATTTATTATGTAATAATATATAGTTTTAATTTAGTTTAATTTAATTAAATAGAAATAAAAATAATAAAAATGGGTAAAATTATTTTAGGGATTTAATTGAAAACAATTTTGGAAAAAATGGATGAAAATTTGAGTTCTGGGGGTGTTTTTGAAAAGAAAATTGAAAATCGATGTTCAAAACGCAATTTAAAAAAATTACACCACGTCAGCAGCTCGGTCAGCAGCCCCGGCCAACCAGGACACGCCGCATGGCAGAGACACTGACGCGGGAGGCCACGCGGAAGGGAGCCACGTGGGCAATCCGCGTGTGCACGATCGAATGGCTGAGATCCGTTCCTGCGCGCACGGACGGCCCAGATCAAAAGCGCATACGGACGGCTCAGATTGCACGTGTACGAACGGCTCAGATTGAATCGCGCACAGACAGCCCAGATTGCATCGTGATGAACGGCCCAGATTCATTTTCTATTTAATCGCGATCGGACAGTTCAGATTAAATCGCGATGGACGGCTCAGTTTAAAAGCGGAAGGTTATAAATAATCTCATCCACACCCAAACCCAAACCCAAACCCTAACCCTAGCCGCCAGAGTCCTCGCTGGAGAAGACAGCCCAGCCGCCGGGGAGCCGACCGCCACCACCCGCTGCCACACCGGAGCACTTTCAGACCGCAAACGAGATAAAAAAATTTTCCTTGACTCAGAATTCAATGCCGAACCCGCCTATGGCCAAATCGGAGCAAAAATACCGCCCAATGGCCGGAAAATGCCGCCGGACCCCAGCGGCGCCGCCGCGGATTTTCTTGATTTTTGCCTCCGATGAGGCCCTTCCCGATTCCCGTTCGATGTAATTTTTTCACCATTGTGACCACCGTTCCTTTCTATACAGGTTGACCGGAGCAAAACACCAAATCACGAATCGAGCCGAAGGAGCCGCCGCACTGGAGAGCCCCGCCGCCAGTAAGCTTCGGTTTTCGGTGTTTTTTCGGCCCACCGAGGGCCCTAAGAGTGTTTTCTCACAGGAACTAATGCAAATTTGGCCGAATTCGGCCGAAAACGGCCAGAAACAGCCAACCCAAGGCGGAATGCCGCCGTGAGCAGCGGTGCCGTCGCCGGAGCACGGCGAAGCCGGCGTGGTGGAATTCCGAAATTGGCCGTAGGCGCAGTGAAAATCCAGCTTTCGGCTTCGAATCAGGTAAGAACCCCTCACCTTATTTCCTATCAAGGGATTAAAGTTTAATAAATGATAAAAATGTATTTTATGAATTAATAGATATACATAATTCTTACGGTTGCTAATGGAGCCCCGAACCGGACATATTTCTCTGTCAGTTCCTGTTTGATTTATTTTACAGTGTAAATGCAGTATAGTATCTTATTCATTTATTTTATGGTTTTGAATGCATGAATCACTGTTTACTTCATTATGGCTTGATTTTGTGAATCCGATGATATGTTTGTCTTGTTGGATGCTCGTTACTTTTTTAGGTATTCATGATTATGTGAGAAACAGAAAACTAAGAAAAAAAAATAGAAAAGGTATGCGAATTGATAAAAGGATAAGTTGACAGTCTCACTAGATATCCTGAGAAATGATGGACAGACCGGGTCCATAGGGAACCCTACCGGGAACGTTGTCTCATATTGGAGGGGGTATGAAGACTTTAAATGTTTTGGCGCTCATACCGGACGAGGTATGAGGACGGCCCGCTTCATTCTCATACCGGACGGGGTATTGAGATTTATTGTTTGGCGCCCATACTGGACGGGGTATAGGGACGGCCCTGGAAATTAAGTTTGTCAAGAGAATGGTTCACGTGTAGCGGGGACCCCTATGGATCCCCATGGATACTAGTAGACTGATTAAAAAGGGGCAACTGTTGTTTGATGATTGAAATATAAAAGTATGACGTATACTATGTTACAGATTATGAATGAACTTATGATATCTATGATGTTATTGTTTCCATTGGTCGTTTTTATAAATTCCACTGAGGTAAGTGGACAGTAAATGGTTTGATTATTGATAAATAAATTTCCTTGAAACTTGTGCTCTATTGGTTGTTTTTGGTTTTCTACCAACCTTTACTTCTGTGACAGTGATATAGTGTGATGTCTTTACTGGGTTAGTGTAGCTCATTTCTTACTTAACCATTTCATATCAGGAATGCTTGGTTCCCGAGCCCGATCTACAAGAAGACGGCGAGTAGTTATCTAGATGTTTATTAGTTTCTTTTTTTGGGTTTTTCATTTCCAGTATTTTTCTTTAGAGGACTTATTTTCGGTATTATTAGTACGTTTAAGTTATTGTGTAAGGGATATTAACCAAAACCTTTTATTTCGCTTCCGCACTTATATTTTTTATATACATTTCCTTTTTAAATTTCTGGGGTGATTATACTTAGAATAGAAGATGACACAGACAAATAAATGGAACACATTTCTTCGATGTCTAAATTTTTTGAACATTTTTATATAATAAATACTTAATCAGTTGCGCATTACTAATAGGTCTCATTGTTTTTCATTCACTACAAATATGAGTACATTATCTTTTTGTGCTAAATAATGTATGTATTTTGTATATGATAGCTTCCTAAAAGCTTATATTAGTTTTATTATTTATGTCCCATCCATGG